GCGAGACAAGAATGTAATTGGGCCCAAGGATCCAATATTACTGTGAGTTTAACAAGTTCCGCTCAAAGGGACTAAATCTCTACTTAATTTCCTTCCTCAAACACAGCCCCACCATGGTGCCATGTCTGGCTAAAAATACAAGTCAGGCAGCCAGAAACATAAGGACAATCCGAGGGTGTTCGAAGCAGCTAAAGGACACCTGTCAGTCCTCCTGTGTTTCTGAACAGATGAAGCTTTTCTTCAGCTTGGCTCAGAGAGCTGTCTAACTAGGAACAGGGATGAGAAAGCTCCAGCGATTTCAGAACAAAGACGGTGGTGTTTAAACAAAAGTCATTTACTGAAAGCGTTTCTGGTTCTGCGTTTTAGCTGAAAGCAGGTTCTGGAGACACCTGAAGTAGGAATGTTTAACGGGGTGGGGATGTTCCTGCTTTTGCAACCCAAAAAAAGAAGGGTTTGTGGGAAGGAACTAAAAAGGAGACTCACTCATTAGGCAGAGAAGGATGAGCCCTCATCTCCGATTGTCCTTCTCCTTTACTTGAGGTCATTCTCTAGCAGTTTGCCCTCCTTGAGATGAAGCTTTGTCTGAAAACGTTCCCATTGGCCTTCTTCCCATTCTTCTCACTTGCTGTTTTCCACAGTTATTCCTGATGCATTAGTAGCAGAGAAAAGACTTCTGCTTTTTACACCACCAACTTCAGGAAATTTACAGAAATTTCAACTGAATTTTTTTAAATTTAAAATTTACAGAAGATTCAGTTGATATTTTTCAAAGGCCCAGCTTGTAGCCTCGAAAGAGGAAGGTTCTTCATTATGTAAAGAAAAGACCCCCAAATTAAAACTTTATCATCAATTGGTCTGAGGAGGCGGGGGGAGGAATTTTATTGGGATGAACAAAAAGTTATGGAATAGTCAGCAAGTGGGTTTTTGTTGTTGTTTTGTTTGGGGGATTTTGTTTTAGACTAGTTATTAAATAAAGATAGCAAGAAAAGGAAAGGCTGTGCTGTGTGTTGGAACTGTAGCTGGAAACTTCCATGAGTTTTGATAAGATCTTTTAAAAAATAGAAAATACATTATATGGGGGGGGGAATCATTACCCATTCTTCATTATCATTTCTCCCACATGATGCTTGGAACTAAAGGAAAACTATTTCCCCTCCCGTTTTCCCCCCAGGATGGGGGGGGAGAGTCTTTGGGCGGATGCTTTTCATCTGGGATTGGTTAGAAGGAAAGTGTTAATCGCTTGCACATCTGGTGCAAGGTGTCCGTGTTTGGTCTGGGCTGGAGACAATTTCGAAAAGGAAATGTCCTTCGGTGCTGTACTGAGTTGGGGCTGAAATATGAAAACGCTTCTCGCAAAGTCCTAACCATTACATTTATTGGGATATGATCGATTTGGAATGGATGATTTAGAGAAGTGTGGCAGGAGGTGCAGGAGCGTCTCTCTCCCTCCGTCTCTGCTGCAGTTCTTCTTCTTTTCTTCCCTTGGTTTTCTTCCTATGGTGCTCCATACAGATCCCTGGCCATCAGCAAAGCAGGTTGAAGGAGAAATTACAGCCATTCTTCCCATGACGTTGCTTATCCCTAAGAGAAGTACCGATATGAGATGTGTTTGTGTATAACTTTCTCATTTGACATGAGAAGCTTTTCCTCCTGGATTAATCACGATCATGCAGGCAAAGATGGCTTTGATGGGTAGGGGCATAGATACAAGTTGGGCTGAGATACAAGTTGTGGTCCTCTGTGAGCAGAGAAAGACAGGCATCCGCTGTGGATACTACTGTATGGGCACCTTCGGTTTGGGTTGCTGCAACATGTCCCCTTGAAGATGTTCTGAGACTTCAATTAGTGCAAAACAAAATGGCAACATTACTGACTTGACCACTACGAGTTGTCAGCTGCACTGGCTGTAAGTCTCCTTCTTGCCCCAGTTCTGAGTAGTGATGATCCCCAAAGCATTAATCCGCTTGGGTCAGAATCCTCCAAAGAGGAGCTCGTGCAAGGCACAGCTGCCTGGGGACTTCAAACATTCTCCTGTCATCTCTTCTGGATGTTCCCACGCCAACTAACGGTACAACATCTCAGTCATGGGCAATATGCTGTTCAGGAAAGCAGCCCTAATGCCCTGTGTCTTCAGGACCACATTACAACCTCGCCTTCCTCTTTTCCCAGGCACTGTTGAAGATAGCTTTGCTTTGACATATTCTCATTATACGGAGAACATGTATACATTATACTAAATATATGCTGTCTTGTGCTGTGTATTCTGTTATTCTTTGCTTTATGGTCTAGAACTGTTTATTGTTTTAAATCCCCTTGAAATCCATGTAAGGAATTTTGGAATTCTGGTGGACCTCCAGATATTGTTGAACTTTGATTGCCACCACTCCTATTTAGAGTGTCCAAGAGTAAAGATGATGATTAGAGCTGAACAAAATAGCATCCGAGAAGCCTCACATTTCCTGTGGGTTGAAGCAGAAAATATTTATGTGGAAAAAAGAACAAAAAGTCAATGTAAGTTCGCCATTGAGGCCTCTTGATAGCCAGCATTCGTGTCTACTAATGAGCAGCATAACTTGGTTTAAGTAAGGATTTATTTTAAAGTGTTGAGTGAATCTTCATGGTTATTCTTGGACATAGGTGTCCTACTTGCATTTCTTTAGGAAGCAGGGCAGTTAGATAAATACTGTAAGCATTCCAGTTTTTGCTTTCCAGCCCCTCCATGAAATAGATCAGCCTGAGAGACAAGCCCTGTTCAGATGTTTGTTGCCACAGCATTTAATTTGCTCATCCAGATGCAATGTCAAAGAATTCCATTCTTTCCAAGCACATCACATTAGACTTTCACTGGCAGGATGGGTGCTTTTGCACCAGCCTGGCTCCGAGGCTGCCTCTTGGCCGCCCTGCTGAAGGCACTTGATGCAACTTCTAAAAATGGAAGTTCATTTTCTCTAGGTTCTAAGTAATCCCCAGTGGGTTGTTGAGCCAAAAACGCCCTTTTTCCAGACATAATGAGCAGCATTTCCATAAACCACATTAGAACAAAGTGTTTCAGAAATATGTTGGGGGAATAACAGAGATAGGAGACAAGATGGTCCTGACCCCAGCAAAAGTGTTCAGCGTCCTTCTCAGCTTCACATTTTGCAAAGTTGCTTAATTTAAAATTACCCCATCATGCTTTCAGCTTAGCATTATTCTTCATGTTTACCCATGATTGTTTCATATTTAAAGAACAGCAAAATATTGTGTTTTGTCAGCCAAGGACAATAATAGTTTAATAGTAATTTATTTTCCATTGCTACTGATAATACAACCAATCAACACGTTAAGTGGTGCCAACATTGGCATGTTGCTAAATAAATCTCTAGGCTTTGCGCTGCGAATACATCTTTCAAAGATAAGTCAACAAGAGCAATCAGAGCAGAAAATTAGAATTTGGTATGTTAGAATTAAAATACAGCTAAACTAAAGTTTTAATTGGGGTGATCTAAAAGGGCACTTGATGTAATGATCTCTTTCATTTGTTACTAATTGTTTGTTCCTGATGAAGAAGAAACATGTACATGAATGTTGCTGTCTGAGGAAAGATGGCAGTTGCCATAGTAGCTAGTTTCCATGGTTGAACAAGAAGGGATCATCCAAATGAAAGGGAGGTCTGCTTCTGAATTTTAACTTCTTTCTTGACACTTTACCACAAGAGATGGGTTTTGTTGGTGTCATAATACTACATTGTTTAAAAATCTGACCTCAGAGTTTAACAGAAGGCATACTATACTGCATTCAATTTTTCCTCCATCTGAGGCAGGAGAAATCCTGTTTCTGCATTCTGCTGGAGGCGGAACCTCACTTACCTACACTTTGCTAGAGGAGGTGAAATGCAGATTGCCCAGTTACTCACTGATAAAGTAGATCAAAAACTGAGCGCACGTGTGCCCATGCAAAAGAATTAAATTTCTTTTTTCAACATTTATCTCGGTTTGATTAAAACGTGCCAGCAGTTCTCATGACTGTCTCATGTACATTCCTTGCATTATCTCAGAAAACAAAACTGTTTGGGGAGTTACTTCGTGCACTGATGTTCTCTGTGTTTAACACAGCAAAGGGAACTTTTACTTCACACCAGGTTGCTTAATCGAGGCTGTACTTTGTCATGCTGTGGGAGCACGTTCCTAATTTCTGAATACTGACTTTCAGAAAATTTACTTCCTGAAGGCCTGAAGTTTTGGAAAAGGAAGAATCCCCTTCTGAAGCCATAGTTAAACCATGAATAAGCAAACAGTCCAGCCTATATGTAATACTGGAACTGGTTGAGATTTAAATTATATCAACAAAGAAGTGTTGAATCTTTGCAAGCAGCCGAACTGTATTTTATGGAGAAGATGTGACCAGTTGATGGACCTGCAAAATGGAGTTTCTTTGCTTTCTGTTAGATCTTTCCAAAATAAAAATGCTACATATCGATATTAGACCTTCTAGGAATAGCATAAATATGTGACTCTTCTCTGGTTTGCACCTGTACTGATGTCATGACTTCTACATAATTAGTGTCCTTTTTAAAGTAGAGCATAATTCATCACCTGCTTCCTCTTTCGGTAATCTTTATTTCATAGACCGAGGGCAGTAAACCTGAGCTGAACTCATCCATAATTCAATCCAACAGGTTCATCTACACATGAGAGTTCCAGTCCGCATAAAGAGTTCTTGAATGTCACTTATCCCTTTCCTTCCAAGACATGATCAAGTCCATCAAACTTAGGTCCCATCGAAACCAGCATGAAGTCATGATTAACATGGCCATTAATTTAAGCAAGGAGAGCTAGTTTTGACCGGCTCTAACCCTTTATCTTTCGATTATTATAGCTGACGGAAGTAGAGGCTTATACGTATCTTCAAGACTGTGACCTAGTGACAAGTTACTGTGAAAATTGTTCATAAATAATATAAATCAATTCTGTGGTTTCATATTTCAAAGGCTGATTGTGTACTCCGTTGTCTTCAATCAGGGGCTGTTAAAGGTTGCCATAGATAATGCACGGGCTCAAGAGAAGCAGGTGCAGCTTGAAAAGACGGAGCTCAAAATGGAGCTGTTCAGGGAACGAGAACTGAGAGAAACACTTGAAAAACAGTTAGCTGTGGAGCAGAAGAACAGAGGTAACCAAAATAAAATCATTACCTTGTATATTAACCTAGTTTTACCAAGCTATCTCAAAACATCAAGATACGATCTTGCATAATTTCTATACCCACGAGCGTTGATTATGATTCTATGTGGGGGGTTCATTTTTTTTTTCTTACTTGGATTGAAAGAATACCGCTAAGAATAGGCAGGATATCCTGATATTCCTGTGGATGCCCATTAGAACTGGATAGCAAAGTTCCCAAAAGCTCTCTGGCTCTACATCTCAACAATTATGAGTCTCAGGACAAAAGGGTTTTCTTACAGCTTAATGCACTGCCATAATTCTGTGCTTCATAGTCTCCTTTCCACCACAACCCACCATAAATATGATGATCAACTGAAGAAATCTAAGAATTCTTAAAGGAGTGAATGTCTTGTTCTCACATCATTTCAATGTATATTCTGATAAATGGACTTAAGCTTTATGTACTAAAATTATAACTCAGCATGTTACAACAAGTAGTCACAAAGCTTATATGATGGAAGATATACATCTGTATGGATGTGTTTGTGTGTATATTGTTTAGTTGTCCCATTTAGTTTCATTTGATTTCCATTTCTATCCTCTAATTAATCACAGCTTTGATTGTAGTAATCTGAAATCACATCTTTAAGTGGACAGGTGTACAGGAAAGACTCCCTTCCCATGGTGGCGAATCCCACAATGCCAGACACAAAAGACAGAGAGCAGTAAAGACATCATTCCAAAAGTAGCCTTCACTGTCTTTGACTTCATGAAGGCTGTTGGTCGTGTGGTTGTCGTAAAAGATCATAAAGCTGTCCAAAAGGTGATTCTAATGGGGTTCTAAGGTAATCAGTTCTGGTTGGTAACAGCCCTGTTGCTTCATATACATGTTCTGTTGGATCAGGACAGGTGTGAGAAAGACAGCTATTATTTTATATTATAAATCCCCCCTGAAATGTTAGATATGATCACAGAAATTGTGCTGTAGATATCTGTGAGATGAATGTTCTTTTACCTGCTGGAGGAGGGCCGGGTAAGAAAATCAGCAAATGATGATCGTCCCAAAGCGATGAATGAAGTTTGAGTGGGAAAAACAGGGTTGACTACCTTGTGAGAAACAAAGGTCTATCAGAATTTGGGGGAAATTATTCAACAAATGCGTAGGTTTATTTATCTCAGTCACTTCTGCAGAGCTGTGATGGGCAATAATTGGTGAAATGAAGCTACAGCCGAAACTCTACTTTATGGGAAAGAAAAGAGCATGAAAGCAGCAAAGAACAGGATATTTAGTTGTGAGATATTTGGAGAACAGACTGTTTGTTCCATAGATATGCAGAGTTTTCAAGCATGCATAACAGCCATGAGATTTTTTTTTCTTTTTCCAAGCCTTCATTTCTGCCTTTCAGAAGTGCTTTCAATTCATGGACTCTGGTCCTAAACAGCTGGAGGGGAACATTGTATCTGGGTGTAGTTGTTGAGCTGCACAATTGCAACTTTGACCAAATGTTAGGGCTAACCACCAGGAAGTGATAGAGATGTACCATGTTATGACCATTTTTGTGTACAGCACCGCAAAACGTGCCCTTAGAATTAACCCTGGTTCACGGTATAAACCATGGATGCATGAATGGAAAATTGTGTACTAAATGTTGCCATAGCAATGCTCATAAGCCCCAGAACAAATAAAATATTAGAGCCAAGGTCTTGTGGTTGAACTTGAATGGATGTATTTTTTTCCCCCCACAACAGCAATAATTCAGAAAAGGTTAAAAAAGGAAAAGAAGGCCAAGAGGAAATTGCAGGAAGCACTTGAATTTGAAACGAAGCGGCGAGAACAAGCTGAGCAAGCGCTAAAGCAAGCAGCTTCCACGGATAACCTCAGGGTCCTAAATGGTAAGATGATGGCCTTTTCTTCTGTCTGACCAGTGCTGGGTTCGAGTGGTCATGCCTGCGCTGAGCGCAGGGAAGAAAAACAAGCCACACACTTCTTCAGGGAAACGATGCTCCCTTTCTCTCCCTGATTTGATTTCTGTCTTCCTCTAAGGGGAGGAAATCTAAAAGAACAGAGTTTTATTTAATTATTAGCTGGGCCATGCCACCCCCTCTCGCTGCGCTAACATTTCCTTCTCATTAATCTTGCTCATCACAGAATTACGGTGCTGGCACCCCATTTTTGTTCAACATTAAAAAGAGAGGCAAAGGTTGATTGTACAGTGATTCAGAAGTGGTAACAGGTTGTAAAAAGAGCCCTTTAAGATCCAAGTGAAATATGTGTCAGCTGAACCTTTCTGTGCTTTTAGATTCTCTGACCCCAGAGATAGAAGCTGACCGCAGCGGGGGCAGAACAGATGCTGAGAGGACAATACAAGGTAGGAATTTTCAAAAGGCCATAAATCTAGATCTCACTATATTAGTTTTTCCTCTACTTTAGCCTGCTATTCAAGCATGCAACCTACCATCTGGGCCACATCAAAACAAGTTCATACAAGGTCAGGTTCATCTGACTTTTTTAGAAGAGAAAATTCATTTTGTGTGATAGATTTCCTTTAAATTAGCGGGTCATTCCAGTTTATATAATGCAATTAGAAGAACAATTAATCTGAGACAATGAAGAATTTCATTCAGCATGGTGAGCATAAATGCATTTTTAGACTGTCTGAGGCCACACATTTTCAGTTGACGTACGAATCTGGCTTAACCAGATAATTTTCAAGACTGGCACACTTTATGATTTTCCAGTTTCTGAAACAAGCAAAGGAAGATAGAACATTCATAACTGAAACTTCTTGATTGTTATCCTGTACCTGAATAGATTTCACTGTCATTACAATTATTTATATTTTAATAATATAGAGAGGAAGCAAACGATGGAGAGATGATAGCTCATATATTCTGAAAATTCTGTTTATCTTGTACAGCAGCTTCTGGGTCAAGGATGCTAATATGAATAATGAATAACACACATGAAGCATTTATTTTCCATTTTAAATGATGGTATATTCTTCAAAGACAACCCTATAATGATTAACCAGAGATGTCTTTTGTTTGCACTTTAAAGTAGCATTTACTGTCTTTTTATACTAAATCTTGTTTTATAATTCCTGTGAGGTATTGTGACTGCTGTTATACCATAGGAAAATATTGAAAAAGATAATAAGCAATGCAGTTATTAAACATGCATCAATAATAGTAGTAGTAGTAGTAGTAGTAGTAGTAGTAGTAATAATAATAATAATAATAATAATAATAATAATAATAATGAACAGAAAGTTTGTCTCTTCTTCACACATCAGGAGGCTCACTGGAGAATTGGCCATGAATTATTTTGCAAGGTGAGATCTCAGTGACAGCAGCAGGAAAGTGGTAGCTGGTTTGATGACTCATCATTGTTTGAAATATATTAGCTCTGTACAAATTACCAAGCTCTGAGCGAGTGAGATTAACTTAATTTAACATTCTGCCTATCAGCACCTCAATTTCATTGAATTTGCCCATCAGACTGTCCAATTCATCTTTTTTTATGTTGTTGCTGTTAACCAAAAACCCAACAGACGTGTATATCTGGAAGATGAATACAGAGGTTGCTGAGTTTTGCCTGCCCTGATTTTCTGGGAGAAAGTTGGAACATTCAAACAATCTTAACTCTGTTTTAAGATTAATTACTGTATGCAGTCCAATCTCAAACAGAATAAGTGTGGCAGGATGGAAAGAGTTTTGATCTAGAACAAAATAGATCTAGGTTCATTGGGTTGTAAAACTTCTCTGAGCTTGGCTTTTTATTATCCACCTAGGTAACATCTGCAAATGAAAAACCAAGGTCAGGAAACTCCTACAACTCAGACCTACCTGCATACTCTGCAGACCCAGGTTCATATCTTCATCTGGCCCTTGGAATTTTGAGCCAGTCATACCTCAGTCTACCTGCCTACCTAAATGATATATGATTAAAAGATATTTTTTAATTTGACGCATACTTACTTATTGAGACAAGATCTGATACCCAAAGCATCCTTCTAGTATAACAAAAAAGAACAGTGAACATAATTGAGCCTTTTGGAGGAAAGGGGGAATATAAAAGTAATAAACAAGCAACTCATTGTGCATAACAGAAATTTGTGGTGTCCAGAGACTTTGATGCTGGTTCTATAACGAGGCCATCAAATTTGTCCATCCTTCTCTTTTGACATTAGCAAGATGATGATCATCTAGGAGGTTAGATAGAAACAGCTTACACATACTGTTTGTCATAAATATATGCAGCATAGAAGTAATGAAACATAAATGTTATTCCTCTTGGCTGTATATAAATCAGAAGGTGATAGGACAGCTGTCTATTTACAAAGAGTCATTAATCTTTTGATTCTGAAAAATTGAGTGTGTTAGGAAAGCTTGTCAAAGTGAAGGAAGTGCATTTCATGAGTAGAATGGGGAAGTTTCCTAGGAGAAGAAGCATTCCTGCATATACAGAGGAATGGAGCACTTCATAAATGTTTTAGTAACAAGTTGGGTTTCAGTATTTTGCTGTCGGCTACTTTTGTTATTCATGGTTGATTTTTGCTCATCAGCCAATTAATTTCTTATTGGGTCTTTGTATCAGAATAAATTTTGGGAGCAGGCCTGAGAAGGTTTTTCTAGGAGGAAGTTACATTAAAATTAGTTTGCATTGAATGATTCCACAACACAGTTTTCAGATCGACTGATACAACTAAGGAAAAGCACATTACTCAACTGACTTGACTTGGTGTCTACAACATAATACATATTGCAAAGTTTTAGCAGGTTTAGAATACTGTGGTTAACAAATTTGAAGTATTTCTGGTCTAATGTTCTCTGGGCAGAAAATATCCACACATTTAAAATTCAGTACCCCCAAAGAATAAAAATAAACTTTATGTAGGTCATAATCTATAGAATTCCAGAGGGTTACCTTACAGTTTGAACTGTGGGAAAATTGGATGATCCAACATTGATATTTTAATAGAAGATAGTTGAGTCAGAACTGATCCATGGTTAAGTGCAACCAGAAGGAAGAAGTTCAGGACATAGGATGTTACAATAAGAATCATGCAAACTAATTCATCATTCCAATAGTTGCATGGGATTTCAAAATACCACTGTTGCTGGTCTATTTCTGGCCTAGCAGCTTGAAGGGCGTAGGATTTGGGTTATCAGTTATAAAAAGCTATTGCATTTCTGTATGTGACTGGAGTTTGCTTGTATTCTTTTGAAACAGAATTCCAGATTTATGAAACAACTGTCCAGAAAATAATGTATTTCATTATTATGAACACTCAACATATTTGTGCAGAGAAGACATTCACAACTTGTAGTAGATCACTGATAGACTTTGGGAAATGCCCAGTTTTCTGTAGCTAAGATGAAGCCTCAGTGAGGTTATTTTTTCCCCACTTATCTTACTATTTCCACAAGAGCGTTGCAGGTTTGCTGATCCCAAGTTATAACCAAACTTTGCTAAAAGTCTACACAAGCAGGATTGTCAAATAAATCCTACACCACTTGATTGGAAATGTAAATTGAATTGTTTTCTAAACAGATTTGCCCCCCCCCCCCCCCTTTAATCAATATTTGTAAGCCTGAATAAATGGGCATTGGTCTTCTATATCTTGTATCTGTTTTACATTTGAAAGCTTACTGGCTATTGTATTTAAATTTTTTCAAGAGCTTGGTTTAGTTCTGATGCCTGATATCGTATCATATTTAGAAAAGAAAGGTAAATCTTTCATAGACCTTGAAAAAAAAAAGAAACTTGATCATCATTAACAGGACATTTGTCTAAGAAAAATGCTCTTGATTCCCACATACCTCTTCATAAACTTAGGGTCATCTAGTTGATCTGAGACTGGAAATCCAGGGGACATTTTGCCGTTCCAAATAATTGGAAAACACCACCGTGCTAAAGAATGCCTTGCTGAAGGTATTTTGCTACCTCATTTTTGAAGCTTAGATGAGGATTCCATTTGGGCATCCATCTTAATGTCTTTGTCTACTTCAGGTTGAACTCAGTGGCTGATAACTTAATTGTCATAGGTGATGGGGTGAAGTAAAGTAAAGCTTCTCCCAGTGTAGTTTTAGCCCAGTTTGTCCCTTGTTAATCTCCCATCAAAACCTGACCTGCTTAGCTTTTTGGTCCAGACAAAGTCAACGAGTATGCTATCTACTGGGGCTTTAAACCCTGAAAATGTTAGCATTCATATTTTAATCCAACTGAAGAACCAAGTCACCACAGGCTGGAGGGACTTAACTCCAGCAGTGTCATAAGAACTCTTTCCAGTGCAATATAGAAATAGTTATTCTTAGAATAATACACCATTGCTTTCAACATCAGCTATGATGTTTAAAGCAAATTCCTGTGTTCGTTGTCATGGCAGGTAATCAGCTAACTGAAAGATCAGCTATCCCACAATAATTTTTCCAACAAAATAAAAGAATAAATAAATTCCCCCAGTATGGAACCATCAGCTCAGTTCCTTTCCAAACTAGTCAGCCCCAACATAGAAGCAAATTAAATCTGTAAGGAGGACACAGAGGATCACAGACTTCTGCGATGTGATGAGGAATTTATAGCAATCAAGGTGTTGGACTAGAAACCGAAAGACTGAGGTCTGGTACTCCCTTCGAGTAGGAAAAGAAGATGAGTAAAAGTTTCTACTACCTCTGGTGTGCGCCACCTCAACGGTACCATCTGTAGAGCACCTCTCTATGGTCAGGAGTGGGATTTCTATAGATCTACCCAGACGTGTGATGTGCTTCCTACTGTCTTATGCCTGTTCACCCAGTAATTGCTTTATTTGGCTCTGATAAGCACTTCTGTTTTGTTTGGTCTTTAAACAGTTTCAGAAAGGAGAGAACCCCTCAAATTATATTTTGTGGCCTTGAAACACCTCTCACTCACCTATGGGGTTATGTCCATGAGTGCGTGTGTTTTCTTTTATAATTGATTTGCAGAGATTCAGAATGAAAACATTCATTCATTATGTACTTTACCTCTACTGCATTTCCCCCCCTTAACTAAGGATAAGCAGTGGAATTATAGTGCAGTACACAGAAATGAAACAATAATAAGTTTATTTCCTGTCTTCTAGCACAGCACTCTGGTACTTTGGCAGCTGTTCAGCTCTAGCTAATCAATTAAAGGCAACTTTGATTAAGTTAAACAAAAGGTGGTATTGATTGCTGACAGCAACCTATAAATAGGCTATTGTTTCATAGTGTTCATAGGTCACTGTTAGCTACACCTTTAAACTAGACATTCATTCTATTTATCATCTCACAAAGCAAAGCCTGGAGCACAGTTAAAGCATACAAACTTAGTCATTTCAGGGTTTCTTTCTCTTTTTTTTTAAAGAAA